ATATTTATAAATTTTATCATTAATTTTTTTGTAAAAAAAAATCTTAAAAAGTGCACTAGCTTGTAATTCTTCCTATTATTAATAAAGAAAAGACTTTTCTAGATTGGATCGCATTGCTGGGCTCGTGGGGCCTATCGAGTGTTTTATTTCGATAATCCGAATTATTTAATGTGTAGAGTTTGTCGAGTGTTTCATCTTTCCAAAACATTGCGTTGATCGGATATCAATCGCCTCTTAATTAGGTCATATTTTTATTAATGATAAATATGATTTTAAAAATAAATTGTCAACAAAAAATGTGTTCCGATCAAGAGATTATCAATATTTGATAAATATGATTTTTTTACAAAGATGAAATAGCCAATGAATTTTACATATTAAACGTTTCAATTTATCAAAATCGGATTTATAATGAATTACATATCTAACAATACAGTTTAATTCGCTTCGTGTACGGGAAAGAAGCCCCTTCCTGTTAATAATTATATCCAGGCAGTTAGGGCGTAACAGTCAGAATGCTATCATAGATCCCAAATCAGTCATCCCTTCAAATGTCATTTGGAAAAATCTTCAAGATAATAGGAAAGCAATGTTTCAAATGGGTAATGAGCCAACAAAGAAAATTTGTTTGGTACACAACTTTTCTTATGGTGTTTGAAAGTGGTTATTTTGGAAGTTTTTTGACTTTTTAATTATTTTAATAAGTTATTTTAATTTTTATATTTAGGGAGATGGGATAAATTTTTATTTGAGTTGTTGTATTGAAAAATGTGTTGAAATGATGTTTGAAGTTAAAATGATAATTTTGTCTCTAACCTCACATTTTTCAAAATTAATCTAAAGGGACAAAATCGTCATTTTAGCCTCAAAGACTAAACTGTCATAATTTTGTGCCTACTCACTATCATGACAGTGTAGGGCTGCCCACTGTTGCCGGCTTTGCTTTTCTTGTTTTTTTTTTTTCTTTTTTAAATATAAATCATTGATTTAAAATTTTTAAGACTCTTTGGCTTTTTAGTGTTGGAGGCTATTTCAGCCTCAAAAGTGGGTTCCCAAACACCCCTATTATATATTTTTATAATAAATATAAGAAAAATATTATTGTACATATTATTCAAAAGATATATACCATATGCACATTATAATTAAATAAAAAATTAATATAATTTTATAATTTTTGAGCCATAATTATAAATAATAAAAAACAAAAGTGAAATTAAACAATATATGAGGCATAACTAAAGATCTCATAAGTCATAACTAATGAAGAAAATTGGTTATAACTATAAAAAAAAATTTGATATAACTTAGAAGTACATATGATATGAGATATGTATAAGAGAATTTCTCTAAATATTATGTAATCTCTTCTAGTAAAATTATGATAATTTATGGTTCAAAAATAAAAATACACATTTTTTGGGTAATATTACATTTTTTTTAATCAAAATATTGTTAAATCACAAATTATCATAACTCCATTAAAAAATTAAATAGTATTTACCTCAAAAACACGTACTATACCCCGGTGCAAAAGGATTCCACCAAGAACTTCAAGTTTAAACATTTAAGCATCACTTAAAAAAAAATAATAAATAAATAAATTATCACAAAACTAATCATATGAAACAATTTTGATCATATATATATATATATATATCAAATGGTAGAGTTTATCATACAATATATAATTTTCACTCAAATTATCACTACTTATATCTGTGATTGGCAGAGGCGGAACTATTGAAGGACCAGGGTGGCTCCGCCCCCTCAAGTGTTTGAGAATTAGAATAATACCCCTATATTATATGTATATTTATAAAACATGTAATGAGATTATATCATATTTTATAAAAAAATTACTTATTAATTTTTTTTTTAATTTTATTAGGATTTTACAATTTATAATGAGATGATCTCCAACTATTTTATAATTTAGTTAATAATATCAATTTTATTGAGTTGATTATATTTGTACAAGATATACATGTGACTTCTTTTTGCTTTTTATTTTTAACATAAAAAAGGTATGAATATTTTTTTATTTAGAATAAATTACACTGATCTTCCATAAAGGTTGGAAAAATATAATAAACTCTATAAATTTATATTGGACTTCCCTAAGGTTTTAATTCACCTAATAGTTAACTTATTTTTCATCAATAATTCATTAATTCCATGAATAAAAAAATAATATTATTATTTATTTTATACTGGAATGAATATTTTACCTTGTTTTTCTATATCTTCACACCCTCAACATTTGCTTTTGACCCTTTTAGCCTCAATAAAAAGGTGGTTGGTGTAACAATGTCAAAATGTGAGGCTTTTTATATTACCTCCAAATCTCATGGGAGATCAATATAATTACTGTTCTATTTATTAGATTATGTCAACTAACAAAATGATTTAAAAGGTAGTCTAATCAATATATAGTGAGTTCTAATTTATAATTCAAAATTTTAGAAAAAGAATAAAAATATATTTATTTAATTTTCTTTTTTATGAAATATTATTTTCACAACACTCATATAACAAATTGTCTTTAATTAGTCATTTACCATTTTTTTTCCCTCATAACTTGGTCCCTTCTAACCAAAATTTTTCGTTTTGCCCTTGGTGATTGGTTTTGTAATCAATTTTGTATTTGTAGATTTATCGAAAAGAGATTTTTTAAAAAAATCGATAACAAAAAAAAAAAAAGAAGAGCGTTTTGTAAGAATTTCTAAAAGGTAGTTTCTTCAGTCCGGAAATATTAAAAGAAAAAGATGTGCGATTTGTCTACTCTGTCACAAAAAAAGAAAAGAAAAAAAATAATGCACATTTGCTTGGAGATTAAGTGCGTCATGATAAAATACACATGTTATGTAAATTATGATTCAAATTGATGTAGATATCAACTATTGTAAACTATTGTTATGTGTTATTTTGGGGTTAAAAATTATCAAATTAAAACAATTACATACCATTAAGATGTTTGTTAAGATTTATTGTACTATGGTTTGATTATAACTAAAATAACTATTTTAAACTATTGTTATGTGTCATTTTGGGGTTAAAAAATTATCAAATTAAAATTAATTACATACCATTAAGATGTTTGTTACGGTTTATTGTACTATGGTTTGATTATAACTAAAATAGTCTTCAATTATAGCACAAGTTAGTGTTAGTTACCTAAAGTAAATTTAAGCAATGACAATTCATTTTTTAAACCCAACTCTGAAAATAGAGATAGACATGAATTTTCTGGATGAGTAAACTAAACATTTTGACTTTTTTTATTTACTAGTTGAACTTAATGTTTGCAGCACAATAATTAGAGTTAAAAATGCACTAAATGTTAGGGATTGAATAGGTAATTAAAACTAGTATTGATTTAGACGTGGCAAATTCAATCCAAACCTATGAACATTTATCTGAAAGTTGTTTAAACCCATTTAAACATATAAATGGGTTACTTCTTATGAACTCAATTAAAATTGGGTTGAACATTTAAACCCATTTCTACCTCCACTGCCCCCACTGCAGCTACCAATCCACCACCGCCTCTATCACCACTCTACCACCACGGCCATCGTACATTTTATTGAATTATTTACATATGTGTATATATGACGATAAATGGATTTGTCGGATTCAAATAAAAAAAAGTTTTTATATACAATTACATACATATATATATTCAATAAAATAAACGGATTGATCTGATTCATCTATCCAACTTGTATCCAATTCAACTAAACCTATTTAAACCAATGATCGACCTAGAGGGGTTAGGAGGGGGCGATCGCCCAATTAAGATTTCAGAAACCTTATTTATTATAGTAGTATTAGTTAATGATTATCTCCAAATTGTATAGACTCATCTCCTATATTTTTTTTAAACTTTTAAATGGTCACTCCTCTAAGGTTTTGAAAAAATTTAAAGTGGCCACTCCATTGTATCTATGAAACATGGGTGCCGTCAAGTATGAAATTAAAAATTATGGGCCAAAAAAAAAAAAAAAGTTTATCACACCCTCTGTCAACTACAGAGAAGATGGTGGACGAAGATTACTTGATAAAATTTATTAAGAAACATATTTTAAGATTTTAATTCGAGGACGAAGATTACTTGATAAAATTTATTAAGAAACATATTTTAAGATTTTAATTCGATTCTATCATAGATGTTATCAATAACATGAAATATCGTCAAGCACAACTCAAGATATCTCACTTTAGTAAATAATTATTTTATAATTATTATATTTTGTAACTCAATATAGATACAAGAAAACATACTTGATTATATATGTTTTCTTGTTATTTTTCACCTTTTATATCAGTACAAATTATTATTGTAATTCATATTAGTATGGCATTGTTTGGGAACTTGGTTTGGGGCTAAAATAACCACAAAAAACAAAATAGGCTATTTTAGCCACAAAAAACAAAACATCAAATCCAACCCATAATCATTACAATCCTCTCTCACAAAAAAAATCAAAAAAGTCAAAAAGCCAAAAAGCCCTTCCCAAACCAGGCTAAAATAGCCCAGGCTAAAATAGCCAAAAAGCCAAAAAGCCAACCCACTTCCCAAACGGAGGCTATATATACATTCATCCCCTTTATATTAGAATTTTAAGTCCATTTTTAGGCCTCGTTTGGGAATAGACTTTTTTAGTAACTTTTTGACTTTTTAGCTAAAATGTGATGTAAAAAAAACTAGTATGTTTGGAATGACTTTCTGACTTTTTACGAAAAGATGTGTAAAAAGTAGAGAGAAAATGGAATCTTTAGCTTTTTAATATGAGTTGTTAGCTTTTTGATACTTTTAGTGACTTTTTAACTTTTTAACTAAAATAGTCACTTGCCAAACGAAACCTTAATTTAAACTCATTAATTAAATGTGCAAATTTGAGTAAAATTATTTTTAACCTAATTCCACCCATTTGTCACCTCTATATTCATTGTTGCCCGTACCAGTTGAGGATTTAAAAAAATAAAAAAATAACTTGTCACAAAATAGTTAAAACAAGTTTCAATATATGTTGCTTCGATAGAGCACCTCACATTGGAGTACAAACTTAATAATGTTATTTCCTTAAACATATTGTTACAAATTATGAGCCCACATGCTTACGACATGCATACTTGATCGGAATCGGTGGCTCTGACAACGAGCCGTTGACCACCCAATTAGAAAGCCATAGACTTGCACTCTGAGTTCGATGTACGTCATCATAAGTAACCTTTTGTATACCTACAAACCATGTACCAAAAAGAGCAACATAAGAAAAATAATATGGGTTAAAAAATTATAGTTATAAATCATTTTATAACTTTAAAACATCTAAAAGACTATGAAGACTCACGGGTAAATCTTAATAGATAAATTTATTATTTAATAGAGCTTATGAAAATTAATGATATTTTTCATCAATTATAACTAAAAAATGCCACCAATCGTTAATTTTCAGCGATAATTTAAAAAAATTGTCATAAAAATGTCACTAATTATAAGTTTTAGTGAAATTTAAAAAAATCATCACAAAAAATATCACAAATTTTAATTTTCAGCGACAGTTTAAAAAATTCATCGCAAACAAACGTCACTAATTATGAGTTTTAGTGACAATTTATAAATTTATAAAAATTGTGACACAAAAAAAGTCGCTAATTGTCAAATTTTAACGACATACGCAAAAAAAAAAAAAAAAAAAAATTTAAAAAAAAATTTTTTTAACACAACCAAACCCCCCCCCCCCCCGTGAAACCAGACAAATTCTTCGAATTCTTCAAAATCAAGATGAAATCTAATCATCAAATATGAAATTACAAACAAGATCAAATTGCAAATTGTACATCAGAAAATAAAATCTGAAAGTCACAAATCTCAAATAAAAAATCTTAATCTAAGGACTAAATATATTTTATTTACCATAAATGAAAATTTTTGAAGGACTAAGAGCAGGACTGACTCTGACTTTTTCAGGACCCAATTGAATTTTTAACACGAGACCTTTATACAGATATATTTTTTTTTAAATGATTATATGTCTAATTTTTTGGGGGGGTATTTGACAAAATTCGTAAAAAGGTTACTTCCGGTATTGAAATTTACTTAAATATATATTAAAGTTTACAATAAGAAAAATGACCAAAATAATTTAAAATGAAGTATCAAATAAAAAGTAAAGAGGATGTAACAAAAATCACTTAAACATGCATTTTTAGCTATAAATTACTAATCTAGTTCGCATAATCAAACTTATAAGCTAAATCATTTTCGATGGATAAAATTGCTAGTTCATTGAATTTTTCATTTGGCATCGTTGAGTAAAGGTAAGATTTAATCAACTCTAATTTGAAAAGATTAACCGCAAGTAGTATAATTAATCATATTCTATATATAATCCACACATTTGAAAAATAATCATTCAATAATTTCAAACAATTCAAAACATCAATTAATTTCAAATCATAACTAAATTTTTGGGCCTTTGTTTTAGTTAATTTTTCAAGACCCAAAGCAGTGGCTTTCCCAACTTGTACCCAAAGTCGGCCTTGACCAAGAATCAGAAAGTTGAGTTACAAAAAGGTTAGGGTTCCAACTAGAGTTGTAAATGAGTTGAGTCAAGCACACTAGTAAGTTGTTTAAATTTGGTTTGAAAACTTAACGAGTTCCAAAATATATTCAAGTTTGACTTGTTTATATAACGAGTTGATCTCAAGCAAGCTTTTAACGAGCCGAACACGCGTCGAGCTCGAATAGCTTGATTGTTTATAGCGTATGTAAGTTTATCAAGTCAGATAGTAGATTGTTTAAATTTATCTTATAAGTTTATCAAGTCAGATAGTAGATTGTTTAAATTTATCTTATAAGTTTATCAAGTCAGATAGTAGATTGTTTAAATTTATCTTATAAGTTTATCAAGTCAGATAGTAGATTGTTTAAATTTATCTTATAAGTTTATCAAGTCAGATAGTAGATTGTTTAAATTTATCTTATAAGTTTATCAAGTCAGATAGTAGATTGTTTAAATTTATCTTAAAAACTTAATCAGTTAAAAATTATTTATAAACTTAATTTATTTACCTACCAAATCAATCTCAAATACACTTTTAACAATTCAAATATAAATAATTTGCTCATTAATTTCATGACCTTGATTCAATAAACTTATATATATTATAAAAAATTAAATTACTGAAGCATAACTTGATTAAAGCTCGTTTCAGATTAGTTCAAAAATAAACAAGTCAAATTTAAATATTTTTAGAATTTTTTTTTTGGTTTTTTGGAACAGATTTTTTAAACTTATTATAGGTAATATACTACTCCACTAGATTCATTTATGACCATAATTATGGGAGTTGTTATGGAGTGGACATCAAGATTCCAGTTCTATTAACTAAAAATAATAATTCCACATATTATTGATTGTGCCATGTTATAAGAATTGTGATCCTCTCCGTTACATGTTTGAGAGGTTTTGTTACATTATCCATCTACAAGTGTAATAATATTTTTTTAATTTAAAATAATTATAAATTTACATTCTTATTTCATAACCATTAGATATGTAATATAAATCTTCCATTACAAATGGAGAGAATTAATGTCCATATTATAGTTTTATAAAAAAAATAAAGGCAAAATCTATTTAATCTTTATGTGATATGACTTGATAGTACTTTACCCCTCTCTCTTTTAAAAATAGTCATTTGCCCTCTCTATGGTTTTAGACTAAAATGCAACGTTAACTATAGATGTGAAATGATTATAATACCCTCAAACACTATATTTTTTATTATTTTTATTCTCTCTCATATCTCATATACATAATTTATAATACTTAATATTAATTTAATTAAATCACAATTAATTATAAATTCTTAACTATTTATTGTAATTCTAAAAAATTTATTCTAATTTTAATTTAATTATATTTTAGATCACAATTAGTCCTAAATATTTAACTATTCGTTTTTTTTTATTTTTGGTATTTAGTGAATTTTAAAAGTTTTTTTTTTCACAATTTTTTACATTTTAGGTATATTTATGTTAGGTATGTCTAAAAATTAAAAAAAATGCTTTAAATATTAAAAAAAATCTAGTAAAAACAAAAAACATGAAAAACAGAAAGTAAAATTTTCTGAAAAGTATTTTTAGAAAACTCCAAACAAATTCTTTTTTTTGCTTTGTGTCACTGCTTAACATATTGATTATTATATATATATATATGTATATGCACCTTGTGTATTATGTGTTGCAGGATCTGTATCAACAAGGAGCAAGGGCATTCTGGATACATAACACGGCCCCATTGGGTGCATCCCATTGCTCACCGCTTAGTCGAGGGATTCCCTAAGACTCAGGATCAACACAAATGTTATACGTTCATGAACGAAATGTCCAAAGAATACAATAGACAGCTCCATGAAGCAGTGAACAAGCTAAGGGTAGAGCTCCCAAATGCTGCCTTGACATATGTGGATCTTAACACTCCGATGTATGAATTGCTCACCGCTTACACGAAACTAGGTAATTCTCATTATTATCTTCATCAACTTTACTCATTTTGATTCCATATAACAAATTTTCTTGATATTTCTACTAATTTTCTCATCATTTTTACAGTTTATCCCCTTAACTATATACAATTTCTTACTATTTTAAGTAATAACAAAGTTTCATTAACAGTAAAATACAAATAACTCTTGTCCAAATAAATCCTGAATAATCAAATAGATTTTATCAATACTGATAATTGGACTTAATTCCCATCAAGTCCTATTGAAAAAAAGTTCTAATAAAATTGTCGTTAAAAATAATTTTTTATAAAGTTTTTTTTTTTTTTTTTTTGCGTATGTCGTTAAAATTTGACAATTAGCGACTTTTTTTGTGTTCACAATTTTTATAAATTATAAATTGTCACTAAAACTCATAATTAGTGACGTTTTTTGCGATGAATTTTTAAACTGTCGCTGAAAATTAAAATTTGTGATATTTTTTGTGATGGCTTTTTTAAATTTCACTAAAACTTATAATTAGTGACATTTTTATGACAATTTTTTTAAATTATCGCTGAAAATTAACGATTGGTGGCATTTTTTAGTTATAGTTAATGAAAAATATCATTAATTTTCATAAGCTCTATTAAATAATAAATTTATCTATTAAGATTTACCCGTGAGTCTTCATAGTCTTTTAGATGTTTTAAAGTTATAAAGATTATAACTATAATTTTTTAACCCATATTATTTTTCTTATGTTGCCTTTTTGGTACATGTTTGTAGGTATACAAAGGTACTTATGATGACGTACATCGAACTCAGAGTGCAAGTCTATGGCTTTCTAATTGGGTGGTCAAACGGCTCGTTGTCAGAGCCACCGATTCCGATCAACTATGCATGTCGTAAGCATGTGGGCTCATAATTTGTAACAATATGTTTAAGGAAATAACATTATAAGTTTGTACTCCAATGTGAGGTGCTCTATCGAAGCAACATATATTGAAACTTGTTTTAACTATTTTGTGACAAGTTATTTTTTTATTTTTAAATCCTCAACTGGTACGGGCAACAATGAATATAGAGGTGACAAATGGGTGGAATTAGGTTAAAATAATTTTACTCAAATTTGCACATTTTATTAATGAGTTTAAATTAAGGTTTCGTTTGGCAGTGACTATTTTAGTTAAAAAGTTAAAAAGTCACTAAAAGTATCAAAAAGCTAACAACTCATATTAAAAAGCTAAAGATTCCATTTTCTCTCTACTTTTTACACATCTTTTCGTAAAAAGTCAGAAAGTCATTCCAAACATACTATTTTTTTTACATCACATTTAGCTAAAAAGTCAAAAAGTTACTAAAAAAGTCTATTCCCAAAACGGCCTAAAAATGACTTAAAATCTAATATAAAGGGGATGAATGTATATATAGCCTCCGTTGGGAAGTGGGTTGGCTTTTTGGCTTTGGCTATTTTAGCTGGGCTATTTTAGCCTGGTTTGGAAGGCTTTTGGCTTTTTGACTTTTTGATTTTTTGTGAGAGATATGTAATGATTATGGGTTGGATTTGATGTTTGTTTTTGTGGCTAAAATAGCCTATTTGTTTTTTGTGGTTATTTTAGCCCCAAACAAGTTCCCAAACAATGCCATACTAATATGAATTACAATAATAATTTGTACTGATATAAAAGGTGAAAAATAACAGAAAACATATATAATCAAGTATGTTTTCTTGTATCTATATTGAGTTACAAAATATAATAATTATAAAATAATTATTTACTAAAGTGAGATATCTTGAGTTGTGCTTGACGATATTCATGTTATGATAACATCTATGATAGAATCGAATTAAAATCTTAAAATATGTTTCTTAATAAAATTTATCAAGTAATCTTCGTCCTCGAATTAAAATCTTAAAATATGTTTCTAATAAATTTTATCAAGTAATCTTCGTCCACCATCTTCTCTGTAGTTGACAGAGGGTGTGATAAACTTTTTTTTTTTTGGCCCATAATTTTTAATTTCATACTTGACGGCACCCATGTTTCATAGATACAATGGAGTGGCCACTTTAAATTTTTTCAAAACCTTAGAGGAGTGACATTTAAAAGTTTAAAAAAAATATAGGAGATGAGTCTATACAATTGGAGATAATCATTAACTAATACTACTATAATAAATAAGGTTTCTGAAATCTTATTGGGCGATCGCCCCCTCCTAACCCCTCTAGGTCGATCATTGGTTTAAATAGGTTTAGTTGAATTGGATACAAGTTTGGATAGATGAATCAGATCAATCCGTTTATTTTATTGAATATATATATGTATGTAATTGTATATAAAAACTTTTTTTTATTTGAATCCGACAAATCCATTTATCGTCATATAACACATATGAAATAATTCAATAAATGTACGATGGCCGTGGTGGTAGAGTGGTGATAGAGGCGGTGGGTGGATTGGTAGCTGCAGTGGGCAGTGGAGGTAGAAATGAGTTTAAATGTTCAACCCAATTTTAATTGAGTTTCATAAGAAGTAACCCATTTATATGTTTAAATGGGTTTAAACAACTTTCAGATAAATGTTCATAGGTTTGGATGAATTTGCACGTCTAAATCAATACTAGTTTTAATTACCTATTCAATCCCATACATTTAGTGCATTTTTAACCTAATTATTGTGCTGCAAACATTAAGTTCAACTAGTAAATAAAAAAAGTCAAATGTTTAGTTTACTCATCCAGAAAATTCATGTCTATCTCTATTTTCAGAGTTGGTAAAAAATGAATTGTCATTGCTTAAATTTACTTTAGGTAACTAACACTAACTTGTGCTATAATTGAAGACTATTTAGTATAATCAAACCATAGTACAATAAACCGTAACAAACATCTTAATGGTATGTAATTAATTTTAATTTGATAATTTTTTAACCCCAAATGACACATAACAATAGTTTAAAATAGTTATTTTAGTTATAATCAAACCATAGTACAATAAATCTTAACAAACATCTTAATGGTATGTAATTGTTTAATTTGATAATTTTTAACCCCAAAATAACACATAACAATAGTTTACAATAGTTGATATCTACATCAATTTGAATCATAATTTACATAACATGTGTATTTTATCATGACGCACTTAATCTCCAAGCAAATGTGCATTATTTTTTTTCTTTCTTTTTTTGTGACAGAGTAGACAAATCGCACATCTTTTTCTTTTAATATTTCCGGACTGAAGAAACTACCTTTTAAAATTCTTACAAAACGCTCTTCTTTTTTTTTTTTTGTTATCGATTTTTTAAAAAAATCTCTTTTCGATAAAATCTACAAATACAAAATTGATTACAAAACCAATCACCAAGGGCAAAACGAAAAATTTTGGTTAGAAGGGACCAAGTTATGAGGGAAAAAAAATGGTAAATGACTAATTAAAGACAATTTGTTATATGAGTGTGTGGAAAATAATATTTCATAAAAAAGAAAATTAAATAAATATATTTTTATTCTTTTTCTAAAATTTGAATTATAAATTAGAACTCACTATATATTTGATTAGACTACCTTTTAAATCATTTTGTTAGTTGACATAATCTAATAAATAGAACAGTAATATATTGATCTCCCATGAGATTTGGAGGTAATATAAAAAGCCTCTACATTTTGACATTGTTACACCAACCACCTTTTTATTGAGGCTAAAAGGGTCAAAAGCAAATGTTAGGGTGTGAAGATATAGAAAAACAAGTAAAATATTCATTCCAGTATAAAATAAATAATAATATTATTTTTTATTCATGGAATTAATGAATTATTGATGAAAAATAAGTTAACTATTAGGTGAATTAAAACCTTAGGGAGTCCAATATAAATTTATAGAGTTTATTATATTTTTCCAACCTTTATGGAAGATCAGTGTAATTTATTCTAAATAAAAAAATATTCATACCTTTTTTATGTTAAAAATAAAAAGCAAAAGAAGTCACATGTATATCTTGTACAAATATAATCAACTCAATAAAATTGATATTATTAACTAAATTATAAAATAGT